AAGCAGATGCATGCTCCGAGTGACAGGAGGTGGTAAGCGGTCAGTGATTATAAAAGACACTCACACCTTACACACCCCTCCCAGTCTCCACCTGCTCTTAGTCCCTAGCCAGAAGCATCTCCACATACAATAGCATCTTTCCCTGGACTACGGCAGCAGCATCCTCAGGTGTCTTTAGATCTTTATGCTCAACTCTCAGGCCTGACTGTATTTTCCATGGAATGGCTGCATTCACATAGTCCCTGGCAGTATTATAAATACAGTATTTATTAACAGACTAAATAACTAAACTCATTTTGCTAACAGGGAAACTCATTACTGGCAATACATACATATAGATAAGTTTTTCAGGCAACTTCACAAATCTGTTTCCTAAGATGACATTACTAATTAATCTTCACTTCTTTTGAAAAGACTTGGGCAGACAGGTTCTAATCAACCACATATGATTGTCCAACAGTAAAAGGCAGAGGAAATGATGATCAACTAGAGATTTAATAAACCCACCTAAAACTGTAATTCTTACATGGACCCCCAAATGAGAAGAGAGGGTACCAAGTCTTTTAGAGACTTGTCTCTCGGGTTGCTGTGAACAGTACCTTGGACAATAAGTAGAAAAAGTGTCTCTGATGCACTCCGTTTTCCCAGAGCTGCCATCAGGATGGAGACATTGACTTTGTTCTGTCTGCTGACAAAACGCAACGCTACGTCCTTCACCTTCCTGGGCAAAATAAACAGGTCTTGGGAAATACAGACTGTTTAACAAACACCCTTTCCCCAGGGGGAGGCCCTAGCCATGGGTTTCCTTGCTTGTTCCCCACCCTCTCCTTGGTTTGGTCCTTCGGCCTGCTGCACCTCCAGGAAGAAGGTACCTCTAGGATGCAGGAGGCCATGGGCATGACTCGTGGCCACCAGCCCTGCAGGTTACTCCACGCTTCTGCAGTCACACACCTCACAGATGGCAGAAGGGAAGCAGCCCAGGGAGTCTGTTCAAATTACACATGGAACAAATAGAAACTCAAGCCATGTGGGATTGAAAGGGCCAACACCCAGAGTAACTGAAAAGGAAAGGAAAGGAGTTCTTCCAAATCTGCTGCCTTTCCAACATGTACACAGGCTAGGGACGGCTCAGGCTTTTGAGTACTTGTCCAACGTTTGCACAGCCCAAAGCGGAAAGAGAATGTCTTCTACTCACCGCAAATCTTCCTCCCCTGAATAAAAAGCTCTAACTACCCAAGAAGGCCGGGCTTCGAGCCTTGAAGTGTCAGGGACCGAGGGATTCTTGGAGTTGTGCAATGACACAGGCACCGTCCCCTGGGAATCTCAGCTGCTCTGTGCACAGCTAAGGGATTTGTACTCCACACAAGCACTTGCTCAGCTCCAAAGCTTTACCCTCCCATTTGGAACTGAAAAGAATGCATATACCACCCTCATCAGGGATCCCCAGGCAGGAAGAAGGCTTACAGAAGTCAAACGCAACAGCCAACAGTGTACCTTTTCTACAGAGCCATGTTACACGCGTGTGGGGCAGCAACCCCATATAGAAACCCTCCCAGATGACCAAACGGCAAATGAAGCTGGTGTCCAACATGTCCAACTGATGTAGAAAAGTTACATGAACACTAGTTATTTCTATTGTACTCAATCTATATGTTACTTCACAATACACATTACCTTCTAATACCCCCAAAGGGACACTGAAAACTGTTTCCAATAAAAACATAGTGGCAGAAAGGTCACGTGACCTACCCAATGCCACTCAATAAGTCAGGCCTGTCTGAGAGAGCTTCTGATTTTAAATACCATTCACACAGACCACAATCCACCAGCCAAGTTTCTTCAATGTTCTAACATACTAAATAAATTAGGTCTGGTATAATGGGTCTGCTCTCCAATCTGACAAAACGCCAGCTTGCTAATAGTTAAAACAGGACATAGATGGTAAACCACAATTGTGTACCAAACCCAGCTTCCGCCTGTTTTGTTTGGTAAATAAAGTTTTACTTACAGTCTATATCTAGTCCACCAACTGACTAGTTCCAGACGGTTGAGGATAATTCACCCCATCTTAATGCTGTTCTAGTGTCATGGGAACACCTTTGGGAGCATTCAAGATTCTTGAATCCAAGATCTACTGCAGTCTTTTCGATGTTCTGGTTCCTGATCTGTAGCCTGTGGGATTCAGCCTTCCAGGTGGGAGTGCCTTTTATTTTAAGCTTCTTTGAAATGTTTATTATTTTTTAAATAAAAAAGTGATTTTTTTTCACACAATGTAATTTCGACTGTGTTTTCTCTTCCTGCACCAGTTCCTCCTACTGCCCTACCTGTTGGCAGAGGCTGCTCATTCATTCCCAGCCGCCCAGGCCCAAAATAATCACACAGAAACTATATTATTTGTAAAACTGTTTGGCCAATAGCTTAAGCGTACTTTTAGCTAGCTCTTAAATCTTAAATTAACCCATTTCTATTATTTTATATTTTACACAAAGCTCGGGGTTTACAAGCAAGGTTCCAGCACGTCTGTCTCCTGCGGTGGCTACATGGCATCTCCCTTTGACTCTTCTACTCTCTATACATATCCTTTATAGCCTGGCTAATATTCTGTTAAGACATTGGCTGAATTTTTTAGTAACCAATGGCAATAAAACATATTCACAGCATACAAAGGGGAATCCCACATTACCTCCCCTTGCCTTGGTATGGATCTTGGCCTAATGATATAAACTTAAGATTAATTTTGTTATATGTATTTCTGCACCTGATTAAAGTATTGTGTTTGTGCAGCTCATTTAAAAATGTAATATATAATTAAGAAATACATATTAATAGATGCCATCTATAATAGTCAAACTTGTAGTCATGCTAGTTAGGTTTTCTAGATGTATAAAGATGTATTTCAGATGGACAGATATTCTTCAAATCTTTCAAAGACTAACAGAATATGGCATTTAAAATGTTTTAATAACTTAGGAATTTTCATGACAATGAGATTCAGTTCCTGGTAGCGTTAATTATGTCAAGAGGAATATGGGCATTAAAGAGGCTCCTTATAGAGTTTGTTAGCCATTTGGGCAAAAAACTGTCCTTGCCTGAACTGTTTGATGTTATGCTGTATAAACTGGACACAAAGGACCCACAGAGAAATGACTGCTAAACTTGCCTAAAGGTGAGACAGTCCTTTGGGGTTCCTCCTTCATGAAGAAGTCTGCCAGTCATTCTAAAGGACACAGAAGAAAGTGGCCAACAAATTGCCAATATAGGTGAAACTGTCTTTAAAATATTCTACTTCATGGGAAAGTCTGCTTTGGGCCTGTAGGCTGAAAATGGATGCCCCAATGTTACAGAAGAACTCTGGGTGACAGTCCAGGTATTGAGATATTTCTGTCAATTCTAGAGTTTGGAAGTTGCTTACAATGTACTTCCTATTTACCTACGTAATATTATATCCTTCTATTGTCTGTTATGGAGTTTAAAAAGATCATTATAATTATAAAAGATAAAATAGATATAAAACTTTAGACTCACAAATATGGATAGATAATAGATTATTTTCCTTAATTTGCCAAATGTCAATGGACTAAATATTATAACTATAATTCTTGCTTGATAACTGCTTTGTTATTCTAATTTTCTTATGTTAAAGTTAAAACCTTTCTTTTTATTTGAACAGAGAAAGAGAAATGATGTGGGAAGTCCTTCTGTATATGTTGCTTTAATTGGTTAATGAATAAAGAAGCGATATGGCAGAATAGAGATAGGTGGAAAAACTAAACTAAATGCTGGAAGAAAGTAGGTGGAGTTAGGGGGATGCCATGTAGCCGCTGGAGGAGACAGACGCCCAGTAAACCATGAGACTCATGGTAAAAATATAAAATATAAAAAGTGGGTTAATTTAAGATATAAGAGCTAACTGGCAATATGCCTAAGTAATTGGCCAAGTAGGGTTTTAATTAATACAGTCTATGCAATTATTTTGGGTCTGGCAACCAGGAATGAACACACAGCCTTAGCCACCACCTACCCACCCAATTTTAAGTTTTTCTCTTTCTTTAAAACAAAAGCAAAATAAAAACCCCACTAAAAGACCAAACTCCACAAAACAAATCAAAATAAGGAAGCAAAAGACCAATAAGACATATAAGCAAACACAATTCCCAAACAAAATAAAATGAGGCAAAGTGCCTACACAAACACCATTGAGATTATTTGTAGCTGGACAACTACCCTTGCACATGGGAACTTCCTGAAGTGTGGTTAGTATCCCCAGTGAGATTCCACTGGCGAAAACTGGTTTTTCCGTTGCCACCGATGATAGACAGCTTTCTTTGTTAGCGGTGGGACCTGTGTGGGCTTTGTGTCTGCTGCCATAGTCTCTGCAAGGTTGTATGTGCATCAGTCCCATTGTCTCTGGAATGGGGTGCCTTTCAAAACACCTCACACCCTGTGGGTAATCCCTCATTGCAAAGGAACAGACACCTCTTCATCATGTCAATCAAACAGCAATTCATTTTCCAAAAGACTCAATACCCTCAGGGAGCTAAACAAGCCAAAAAGAGAGTTATGCTGGAAAGACAGTGACCAGGGACTGAAGTGCGGTGCCCTAACAATTTTTTTTTTTTTTTTTTAGCTCATCCGTTCATTCAGATGTGCTGCGAGTGCCTGGTCTACTGAGCAGAAACACACAAACTTCAGACTGAAGATGGAGACACTTTACATGGAGCAAATCTCATGAAGACCTGAGGTTGTAGTCAGACAGACACCGACAAATGGTGTTGGTTTTTTGTCAAGAACAACAGCCCTGGGAGCAGAACCCAAAGGGCAGTGACTACAGGACCTACTTACTACTGAGCCCTAAGCACTTGGCTCAGTGCCTAGAAACAAACGTATTTTCCTCTGTATTACCATGGGTTAGCTCTGTGGGTTTTGACAAGGGGGAATGTGAACAGCAGCCTGTGAGTCACATTCCAACTGTCCTGCTAAAGACATCAATTTCTCCATACCTGGATTGTCTGGTAATCAGAAGCATCGATTCCCTTCACCGTCACCTCGCGGAAAACCATGGGTTCCAGCTCCTCTTTGGTAAGATCACAGTGGTAAATGACGCCTAGAAGAGGAGGAAGTCTCAAGTTAGCATCCAAGACTCATGAAACACAAGGGCCTCAGCGATGCTAGGTGGTACCCGAGGCTAGCACCAGGCAAGACCCTATCCCATCAGCACCCTGATAGGTGTGGCAGGCAGATGAGAAGAGTCTGCTATGAGCGGTACCCTGGAGGAGTGGAGGTCTCCTCATCAGCACCACCTACTGCCTCCCCTCCTCCAACACCCTGATGGTACTGTTTACTGTCAACCTGACCATGTTTGGGTCACCTAGTGGCCACACCCTGGGTGTTGCAGAGAGTATGTCCAGGAATTTAACCGAGGAAGGAAGACTCACCCCAACTGTGGGTAGTGCTATCCCATGGACTGGGGTCCTGGACTGATATAAAGGGGACAAAGGAAGAAGGCAGGTGAGCACCATCATTCGGCTCTCTTCGCTACCTGCCCTGCCCTTGTGTGAGCAAGAAGCCAACTCTCAGGCCTTCCCCGCTGTCTTAACTACTTCTAGATTGTTGTGATAAAACACCATGACCAAGGTAATTTACAAAAAGAGGTTTAATCTGGCTTAAAGTTTCACAGGGTTAGAGTCCATGATGGCAGAGTGATAGAACAGCCTAGAGCTCACAACCTGATCTGCAACCATCAGGCAGAGACAGACTGGGAATCCCAGCAGATTTCTGAAGCCTCAGAGCCCATCCCCAAGGACCCACCTCCTCCCACAAGGTCACACCTCCCAATCCTTCCCAAACAGTTCTACCAACTTAGGACCAAGAATTCAAATAAATGAGCCTATGGGGGCCATTCTCACTCAAACCACCATATCCACCATAGTGGATCCCACACCTTCAACAGTGAGCCTTCTGTCCAGGACTTTGTCACAGCAACCAGAAAAGTAGCTAAAACCAACACCACCCTGAGCACTCACTGGAGAAAACTCACACATCCCTGGGAATTTGAGAAAAGGAAGGATACCTGACTGACCTCAACAGTTTTTCTCCAACCCAGTTCACAAAGGAATGCCCCCACCCCCATGGTAAACTCACCTGGAGTCATTTACCTGAAAGAACTCTGATGGGAAAGTCCCACCATCTACTCAAGGTCTACAGCTGGGGGGGGGGGGCTCTTGACCAGTTCCTTTGGGCTTGTGCTACCTGACACATACCCAGCCAAGGACACAAAGGAACAAAGGTGATCCATCACACGTCATTTCAGAATCAAATTTTCAGCTGTCCCAGTAATGGTGGAAATACCAAATAACTAATATATACCAAGGATTTTAGCTTATTAAAACCACTAATGAAAATTCTACTTCCTGAATTTCATGTTGCCCTCTTAATATTTAAGAATTACATGAAAGAAAGAATTAGAGAGTGAGTCAGAGAAGCTGGCATGGAAACCTTGGCTCGCACTTTAAATATACACTGTCAAGGGGAAGACAAATTGGTCCCAGGACCCCAGTGCTTGCTGGAATCCCACAGGGCACAGTGAAATCGACTGCTCATGGATTAAAATGACAGCTCTCTTTCCTCTCAACCCCTCATTGATAGGTATTTCCCTAGCAGCTGAGAAACAATATTCTGTATATATATAACTATGACAGTTAATGAGGGTTTTTGGTTTTCTTTTTTTTTTTTTTTAAATCAGTACAAGGTACCCTTCCCTACACCTCTGAATTGGGGAGAAAAATAGGTTCCAAACATTGCAACAAAAATAAGATGGAATAAAGAGCAAGCATGTGCCACATGATCACCCAATTTGTCTTGATGTCACCACAAATAATGAAGGATTTAGGAGCTAGAATTAAGAGCTCAGTGAACGCAGACAAGGCACCAGATACTGGAATTAAAATCCCTAATGAAAGATGAAGAAGAGGAGATAGACTCTCCATTCCTGTTTACTCAGATGACACAATTCTCAAGACAGAATGAATACACAGCCGAGGCTGGCTGTCACTTAAAGAGAGTGGCCCAAACTTCCTCCATCCTGGACAAACACACACAAATGGTCTGTGAAGGAGACAGGGATAAGCTTGATGGTCTCCATGATAAATGCATTTTATCAATATTCCTGGGTATAGTCATCTGGGTTAGGGCAGGTTAGTTTACTGTACATTCTTAATACTATAATGTGAGCCAGGGTAACCATGTCTGTCCCTCCTGATCATGTAGAGAAAGTGAGCTGGAAGAAAACGTTCTGGATCATAATCAGCAGAAGGCTGCCGAGGAAATGAATTCAAGATTGAAAGAAGGACTCAGTTATAGAAGTTTCTTAAGGTAGAAGAAGTATCTGGCTTTAAGATGATCCTTGATAAAAGCAGGGTCATTACAACAGTAGGAGGGAGGCGGGGAGGGCGGCTGGTGTGGGCTGAGGATGGAGGACAAGATGGAGGACAAGAGAGCGGCTGGTGTGGGCTGAGGATGGAGGACAAGATGGAGGACAAGAGAGTGGCTGGTGTGGGCTGAGGACGGAGGACAAGAGAGCGGCTGGTGTGGGCTGAGGATGGAGGACAGAGAGCGACTGGTGTGGGCTGAGGATGGAGGACAGAGAGCGGCTGGTGTGGGCTGAGGACGGAGGACAAGATGGAGGACAAGAGAGTGGCTGGTGTGGGCTGAGGACGGAGGACAGAGAGCGGCTGGTGTGGGCTGAGGATGGAGGACAAGATGGAGGACA